CTCCCCTTTCTTCTCTCCTTTCTTTCTTCCCTCACTCCTCCCTTCCTCCCCCTCCCCTTTCTTCTCTCCTTCCTTCCCTCTCCCCCACCCCCATCCCGTGGTTGTCTATTTCGTTGAAGCTGATTCATGCCGTCTTCTTCAGATATGCGAAAGTTTCTGGTGACGCTAGATGCCCGGACGTCCAAGCTGCTGGGCGCGAGCGGCTGCATAATGCTGTCCATAGAGGGCTTTTACCTGACAGCCACTTATGTTGACGGAAACAGACTGGGTCGCTTCGATATCTGTGAGCTTCGGCGTTACGGATTCACGGACACCACTTTCCACCTGTCGACGGGGAGGAAGAACATGTTCGGGGAGGGCACGTACACGTTCGTTACGCGGCAGGCAAGTGCTTTTTCGGCCTTCAGGAGGCGCCCTGGGTCTCGCTGCTCTGCCCTTGCACAGCGCACTTCGGGTTCTCTAACCTCAGCGGATTCAGTTCTATGCAGTCTTTTGTTTTCTTTTCTTTCTTGAATCATCTGTACGCATTTCATGTTCAAGTAAATATTGTTCTTGTCATTGGTGTTTATAGCACGGGTTTCACACAGTTGTTCCGAACTTAGCCGGCGTTTTTCATATTTTTATTACCTATGGTATTTGAATATCCATAGCGTTATAACATAGAATATTGTATTCCCCAGTATTCGATGTTACTGCCAATCAGTTTTATACCGTAATTTAACACTCAAATGCAATGCAAGTCAAGGACATGGCAAATAGGGTATGGGCGTAAAAAAACAGAAAGGGGAGCCGAAGACAAAAATAGACAATTTGCGAGAAAAAAAAGTAATCGATATGTGTTTCCACCACAGGGGCAACATATTTACACCAACTGGAAGGATGAGGTGCGCTTAGCCAAGGCGTCCGGGAGAACGAAGCCTTCACCCGGGGAGATCGAGGCCCTCCAGCCGGACCACGACCACCCGCTCTTCACCAAGCCGGGACACACCTATGAGAAGAACGAAGACTATGTCGCGAAAACCTGGTCCTCGATTGGCTATTCCTCCTTGGACTCGTCAGACTCCTCAGTATGTTTCTCACTGGGCGGTTGCTTCTGGCCCAATATTATTATTATTATTATTATTATTATTATTATTATTATTATAGTAGTAGTATTAGCAGTATTAGTAGTTTAAGTAGTAGTAGTATTAGCAGTATTAGTGTTTTAGTAGTAGTATTAGCAATATTAGTAGTTTAAGTAGCAGTAGTACTGGTAGTAGTAGTAGTAATAGTTACAGTTGTAATAATAACAGTGACATCAATAATGAAAATACTTATGATTGCTTTCCAATCAACTCGAAATGCTTTTGAAGGCGTTGAAACGATCAGTTTGATGAGAGTGAAGAGTGCGCTAAAAAAGACCTGTATTAAAAAAAAAAAAAAAAAATAATCACGGTTGCACTATCTATATGCCAACACAGGGAATCACGATCAAAGATATATACAAGGAAGAAGCGTTAAAGGTACAGCTTTTTCCTGTCAAGCCCAATGACTCGGCGGGAATTTCAAACTGTAGCATTTATCTTAGGTAAAACTTAGGAGGAGATGGAATATCGTATATATATATATATATATATATATATATATATATATATATATATATATATATATTTATATATACATATATATATATATATATATATATATATATATATATATATATAATATATATATATATATATATATACAAAATTAGGGAGCCGAAATGTCTTCCTTTGGGTAAAGAACAATCAACAGAGCGAAAGAAAATTAGAATAATTCTATGCATACGATTACCTCTCTTGTTCGCTCTCTTCTCTCTCTCTCTCTCTCTCTCTCTCTCTCTCTCTCTCTCTCTCTCTCTCTCTCTCTCTCTCTCTCTCTCTCTCTCTCTCTCTCTCTCTCTCTCTCTCTCTCTCTCTCTCTCTCTCTCTCTCTCTCTCTCTCTCTCTCTCTCTTCTCTCTCTCTCTCTCTCTCTCTCTCTCTCTCTCTCTCTGTCTCCCTCTCTATCATTTATTGGCTGGAAACGGTCCGGATATTTGCTGCACTGCCTAATCTCGTTATAGATTTTTTCTGTATCTATTTCGCTTTAAAAAGTTTTTTTGCTGTTGCTGGTGGTTATTTTGTTGTCGTTACTATTATTTTTACATTATTGTTGTTGTTATCCTTATGATTATGATAATAATAATAATAATTGTTATTATTTTTATTATCATTATTATTATAATTATTATCATAATCATCATCGCCATCATTGTCCTGATGAATAAAAAATATTATTATTATTATTATTGTTATTATTATTATTATTATTATTATTATTATTATTATTATTATTATTGCTACTATCATTGTCATTGTTATTACTATTATTATTATTTTGTTGTTTTTCGTTGTTGGTCTTATTGCTATTATTATTATCATTGCCATTATCGTTATCATTATGATGATTATTATTATAATTATCATTACTGTCAGTAT